CAAAAGCGTTTGAAACTGGCAATACAGTGTATATCATTTCAAAACCAAGGAAGGAAGTCAACATCAAAGACTCATCAATCACTCTCAATAAAAACGAGGATCATTAACCTCGCAACAACAACAAGACCACAAACACAATAGACAACACAACTCAGGATGCATCCTACCGTTCACAAGGTAGAACACATCAAGACATGCTCATAAGCAAGGAATTCACAATCACACAGTGACAACTACATGTCACAAGTTTCATAGTTCCAACCTTATGCCATGTTCCAACCTTATGGCAATCCCCGGCCTTATCACAGTTCCAACCGTTACCTCCTAGTGCCACCCTGTACTTCTGAGTCCAACCTTTTACCTCCGGGGACCGTCGTCCCCCCACCTACACCACCCACATTTCCGCCGAACTCTCAGTACACAAGGGTACCGAGAGTGTTTGGCAATTCTTTATAGAACTCTCAATATTCAACTCTATGTCTCTACTCTATCATCAGGGAAAAATGTAAAGGGGGAAAGAGGGAAATGCAAGGTCCAAATAAGCAGTGCAATTAAAAGAAATAAGGTGCTGGACTCACGAGAATATCTTCTGAGAAAGAATCAGCAAGAGTTGCCTGTAAACAAAAGAAAGAATTAATGGAGTGCTGGCAAGCCAACCAAGAAGCATATCAGATAAGAATTTAACACATCTGCGGAAACTTATATCAGAACCAAGGAAAGTAGTTGGGCTAGCATCAAAATGAGAGATCCAACAAATCTTAATTATTGAAAACAAAATACCATGCAAATTCACAGTCACACACATCCAATACACGTATATTTTCCCCACAACCTTGTGGCAAGCTCGCATTCAATAATTTACAAACATCAAAATCAATAATTATAACTCCAATTCAAAAAAAAAAAAATTATGGAACATAGAACAAAGGAAAACGATAATATTAAAATTTACCATGAATCAGGTCGAAGTTTTGAAGTCAAATTGAGGTCAGCTAAATTTCGATCAAATTGTAATCGGCTTGGAGCCTACTCCACACTCTTATAATTTAAACAATAAAAGAAAACAAGACAAAAACAAAAACTACTATAGCTTTCTTACTCACCCAATAATCCATGCTCAACTTGTAACAAATGCCACAACAGGCTTTGGACTACTACTACTTCTAGGTGTTAGCAAATATATATATCTACCTACTCTGCAAAACATATTCAATTAAGGGGGCAAGACCAAAATGTTAGTGAAGTGCAAAAATCAAAATGAAACTGAGGGCATACTAGTTAGCATTTACATACCTATTTCTTGGGTTTGTTACCATAAACAACACTGCGATAGACCTGGGGTGAAAAGTAATGAAATGCAACTGCATAAAGTCCAAAGATTCACTTATATGCCCAAAGAGCTAATCTAAGACACTATTAATGTAATGTAATCCAAACAGAAATATATGAAATTACAGATCCAAATCCAGATCCTCTCAAAGCATTTATCAGATAATGATATCCATTAAATAAAATATAGAATTCCATTACTTGGAAACACAAGTTGCTTGTAGTAAAGAAACAGAGCATGTGCTACCAAAAAAAAAAAAAGATTAAACACTCACTCATTTGAGTCATTTCTGAATAAACTCTTATAAGGTTTTACTCAATTTTATAATGATTTATGCACAAAACCAGATATCAACACCAAATTGCACATAAAACTTGCAAAAATAAAAAATAAAAAACAGAAAAGGGGGAAGAAGGAAGAGAATGCAACCAGTAACCTGTTGGGCCTGGTACTTGTAGAACCATCAATGCCTCTGGGTCCGTGTCGTACAACAAGCACTCTATGTCCAATCTCTTGCACTACGACAACAAATTCAAGCATTCCACCGCCAGTCTCTAATTCTCCGCTACAAAATTCTTCAACACAACCGCATTCATACTCGCCTCAGCCTAAAAATTGAATAGTCTTCAAAAAACCATAGATACCCATAAAAAAAGAGACGCAAAAGAGGAGAATCAGGGGGAGAATTTGCCTAAAAATTAAATAGTCTCCAGTCACATATGATATTTAGCACAATAATAAATAAAACAAATACTTTTAACAAAATAAAAAAAAAAATTACCGTATTAGCGATAGCGGGAAGCGGGCGGCCGTGGCGATGGAGAAAGATGGCGGCGGCGTCGGCAAGGTCTTGTCGCCGGTAGATAACGAGAAGAAGAGAAGCGGCGGCGTTTGATCGAGGCTGAGTGAGTCGTGGTGAGAGAGGCGGTGTCAGCGGCGTCGTGGGATGATGAGGGATGCAGTGTCGATGGCGGAGGTGTGGCCTGTGGTAAGGAGCGACGGAGGAGGCATTGAGGAGAGGTGATAAGGCGTTGAGGGTTGGAGAGGTGAGAGCGAGATCTGGTTTGTGAAGGGGCGTTTGGGGTTTTTTTTTTGTTTTTTTATTTTTTTTTTTTTGTTTCCCGATCTGGTTTTCACTGCCCTTTCTTTAGAAAGGGTAGCGGAGAGTCCTTCCGCTTTTTTTTTTTAAAAAAAACCGCTACCTTTTTATTTAAAAGGGTAGCGGTTTCTTATTCATTTATTTACAATTATGCGACCGCCCTATTTTTTTAAAAGAATACACTACCCTTGTTTAAAGAAGGGTAGCCTAAATTGATATTTCTTTACTCTATTTTGTACTAGTGAAAGGAGAGAAAATGAGAAGATAACAAAGGAAAATGAAGCTCTTTGGCTTGAACATGAAGAAGCCAGAAACTTGAGAGAGCGATAAATTACTCCTTTTCAAGAAATACAAAAGACGATAAAAGATGTTTCGACAATTGAAAAAGTTGGAGATACAAGTGTCAAATACGATGTCGTGTTCAAAATACACAGAGAATCCGGCAAGAGCTATGTGGAATGAATGAACTCCATAGAGCTCGTGATTTGGTGGAACCTTGGCATTCTACCAGGACGATACATTTTAGGGGCTTACAAGAATTACAGGAGCTGCAATTTTTGGAGAAAAATATGAAGGTCTGGTTCGAGAAAACCCTCTCTGAAACGTTAGAGATTCAATCAATAACAAACTAGACTTCGACAACATGCTCAAGAAGCAAAATGAACGTGATGATAAAGAAAGAAAGGAAGCACAACAAGTGAAACTGAATCTTTTGAACATGTAATGATCCTTTTAATTTCAGTATTCTTCGTTTTGTAATTTTCTCTTTATAAATGAAAGTTTGTTTTGCACATATATTGAGTATTCTTTTTCTTTAAATTCAGTAAATCTCATAGATCTTCATGTAAACTCATCTATAGGGCTGTTTTGTAATAAAATCTCTGTAATTTTGCATATTCTCTTTTTAGACAGATTAACGGGATTAATCAACTATCAGAGATTACTGATTGATTCAGTTACGAAGTCAATCAGTAATAATAAATCATGGAGAAGATGAAAGAGAAAGATAACAGCACACACCCAATGGCACAGAATATCTACCCAGTTCGATACAGTGTGTGAAGATGGAGAACCATGCATACAGAAGTCCAATGAAATCCCTTCACTTGGAGAGCCCACTCTGATGCAATCCACTTCAATGACGCTCTTTACAGTTGTTCCCACAACAGTGTGATCACAGTGTCCTTTCGTTTAAGCGGCAGTGATTCTTCTCCAGTTCATCATCTTAATCACCAAGAACATATTGTTTTGAGAAGATGCATGACAATCAAAGATCTCGTCTCATATAGCAGACAGGGAGTGTTTCTTCTTACTTTCGGCGTAACCCTAATTCTCTTCAAATAAGGGTACTTATAGATTCTTCAATAAACACTCTCCATAGATGACTTTGATTGTAGAAGGTAGGACTATAAAAGAGGAATGTAATCTCAGAAGATTTGGTCCATACCTTTCTTGAAAATATACGCTGATCTTCTTTCCAAACTTGTCTGATAATACCGCATACAGTATTTTAGAAATCAGCTTCCTAAATCAGATCTTCAGTGTCAGTCCTTCTGTTGTTGCTTCTGATTGATCAGTCGTCTGTAGAGCTGGACGGACATACTCTAAACATATCTTAGTATGCCATAATAATATTGCCAATTATAATATGGGGTTTTTGAACATTTAAAAACACTAACAAACTCCCCCTTTGGCTATTATTTGGCAAAACAACTCGACTATATAGATAGACAAAACATAAAGAACTAAGATAGGTTATTATAAAGAAGCAGCCCATGAGTCTGATCTGATTACATAGAACTAAAACAAAAACATAAGATCCAAACAGTTTATGATCAAAAACAAGTAGTGGTGCCATCAAAAACAACACCCAGCCAGGGCCAGAAGGTACACAAACACAAAACTCCCCCTGAGTTCATACTACTCCCCCTTTTTGCCAATGATAGCCAAAGGTCAAGCATTGGAGGGAGTGTCACTGTCAGACTTTGCAGGATCAGCAGCAGTAGCAGATTCAGATAGGCTTAAACGAAGAAGAACGGTTGCCAGCTCAGTACGGGCCCCTGTCAGTTGCTTTGCAACAATGCTGTGAACAGTCTCAAGATCAGCGAACCTTGCCTTCAACTGAATGGAAAGTTGAATATCCTTAGCATGAGGAGAGTCGTCAGGCACAGCGTCAGGTTCAGAATTGGATGGGGCAGTCACCGGAACAACATCCCGAATGTGATCTCCAGTCAGCAGACGTTTATCAACAGTATTGAGCAACGTTGGACTGATCACTTCACTGGGCATAGGCTCAAGACCCTGAGTTGTAAGAATGTCATAAATCAGATTTGGGAAGGGTAGTCTTACCTTCTGCTCCCGTGGATGAATCAAGGTAAGGATGTGATAGTAAATCCATTTTCCCAGATCAATTGGCATCTTCGTTCCAATTCCAAATAAGAAGCCTGCCAGAAGCTTGCCAACCGTGTGGAAATGGGCTGATGGGAGCCAGTTGTGAAGGGCCAAGCGATGTAAAATCACATATCTAGATGTGAGTTGCGAGCTCTGCAGATAGTCCTTGTCACATGTAGGTCAAGATTCTGTCTGTCCACCGGTAAGAGTTTTGGCCACCAAGTTCCAATCAGTGACAGCCTCTTCTTGCAAAGCAGTCAAACCATAGTATTCATTGATCATGTCTGGCCCAAAAAAGTACCACCTTCCTCTAATGAAGATCTGCATCGGTCGAGGTCCGGTTAAGATGTCAATCTCGTCATTGAGATTGCAATAGAATTCATACATGAGGAGCTTAGAGTATGGGCAGATGTCCGTGACAGTCTTCAGCAATCCGACTTCATTCAGCAGAGGTAGAATGTCACATACAGAGTTCAGCTGGTTCTCATCCACAGATCGTTGAACAATAAGGTCCCTTATGACCATAGTAGACCATTTGGCCTGAGCAGCAGGAGATACAAACTGAGGCCTGTAAACAGATGGGTCAGTTTGTTCAACAGGATGAACCTCAGGAGTAATGCCTCGACCTCTTGATCATGTGGATGGCTTCCCTTTTCTGGAAGATGGTGCAGGTACAAAAGTAGCTTGAACAGCAGTAGGGCCCTTTTGCTTAACAGACGATCGCAGTGTCTTGAACACTTGTTGAATAGGCGGATTTCCTTCAGACTTGACAGCCTCACTCGACTTCCTTCTCTTCTCAGGCTGATCCACATCTGCACTGTCATCTCCGGTCTCAACAACAACCTTTGGTTGGGGATTGAACAGGAGTCATAGAGTGACTAGAATCAGAGACATTGGCAGATGAGTTCCCAATAAGATTCGAAATCTCTCGAATTTTGAAGGTCATGGAGTCAGGATGAGCAATGGCCTCAACAGTTGGAATGTCAGATGGAGGTGCTTGAGATCCATACACTTTAGCCAGAATTTTATCATCTTCGCTGGAGGATTCAGATGAGTGAATCACTCGATACTGTTGAGGAATTGAAGCAGATGGTAGTCCAGCAAAGTGTCGCACATGTTCCAGACTTTCACCTAATGATGTGGCAGTGTAGACTGGGATTCCACCAGATTTCTTAGACTTATGGGGGCTTGAGAGATCGACAGTGTCAACATTAGCAGGTAAAACAGGAGGATCAACAGCAGAGCAAATTCCTTTAGGATCATCAGCAATCTCAGCAGGAGGCAGAGCAGTATTATCAGGAGAGTACACAACTAAACTCAGTTTATTTGGCTCATTAGAGGATTTTTCTTTCTCATCAGACACATGCAAGACATCATTTTTCACACCAACAGAATCACTCAACGGCAAGGATGAAGGATCAACATTCACAGGGGGGTTCTCAGAGTTCAAAGCTGTTAAATTTTCAGTATTAACAGGCACAAAAGATGGGGTAGCAGAATCATCAGGTTTATCCGGTGAAATTTCAATAGGAGTATCAGAATTGTTTGACCTGTTTCGGAGGATCTCCTGTCTCTGCCTTGCCTCTTTCTAAGCTGCTTCAAGATACAGAGGTTGTGACTCCGCTCGCCGTCGAGAGACTTCAGCAGATTCTAGGGCTCGTTGTGCAAAGTATTGAAGGAATGCCCCGGCCCGATTTCCATCCGAGGGTTCTGGAATAGATACGGGAGAAACTTCATCACTGGCTTCGGAAACCATCATCAGCAGCTCAATAGCATCATCTTCAGACCATTCAGCATAAAACTCTGGGTAGTTCGTCATAACAGTCACCAAAATCTCGTCGCGAAGCAGAGGATCAAGCTTGAGTTTCTTCTTCATAGCAAACTGCAATAGTGTCTGAATATGCTTAAGAGCCACCTCTGGAGAATGTGTCTTACTTCCGAGTTTGATGATGATATTTCTTACAGGGTCCGCCATTGAAGAAATTTTTTCGTGAGAGGAGAAGGACAAATCATAGAAGGCAGGTATGTTGAGAGAGAGAAGGTTTGAGTGCTGAGATGCTTGAAGATATTTTTCTTCTTGGCCCGGTATCAAATAGACTTAAGGGTGATGAACCCTAATCAATGTGGCTTGTCAAATATCATGCAGACGCGATTGATTGACACAACGGTACGGCTTCTTTTTAGGAAGAAAACGGAACCCAAGGAAATTTGAATTTTGAAAGAAGATTAAGATCTTTTAAGATATCTTTAAGATACAAAAGGTTAAATAATACACTTAACAAAAATAGAGAGGAGTCTTTAAAGAAAGTCAAACCATAATACTGACCCGTATGAACCAACATTTACTCCTCTCTGACTGACCAACTGCTTTAATTAGTCAATTCTGCAAATTCCTAGAGTAGACCTGAGAATTTCAAAACGATTAGCGTCCAGTGGCTTAGTCAGAATATCCGCCAGTTGTTTGTCAGTTTGAATGTATTCCAATTCAATTTCCTTGGACTCAACCAGGTCTCTAATGTAATGATGCCTGATGTCAATATGCTTCGTTCTAGAATGTTGAACTGGATTCTTGGAGATATTAATAGCACTGAAATTGTCACAATAGAGTGTCATTATCCCTTGAGTAAGACCATAATCCAGCAACATCTGTTTCATCCATACCAACTGAGTACAACATCCACCTGCAGCTATTTATTCTGCCTCTGCGGTGCTTAGTGAGATTGAATTTTGTTTCTTCCTTAGCCATGATACTAAGTTCTTACCAACAAAGAAACATCCTCCAGAAGTACTCTTTCGATCATCAATATTTCTTGCCCAATCAGCATCACAGTATGCAACAAGACTCAGTTCACTGTCCTTGGAGTACCATAGGCCATACTACATCGTTCCTTTAACATATTTCAGAATGCGTTTTGCAGCTATCAGGTGTGATTCCTTTGGGTCAGATTGATACCTTGCACAGATTCCAACACTGAACATTATGTCTGGTCGATTGGCTGTTAGATACAACAGAGTGACAGACTGCCTATCAAGCTGCGATAGACTGTGTTATCCACTGATATGCCAGTTTCATCTTTCGATACTTTTGTAGAGGTGGAGATTGGTGTCCTGGATGATTTACATGATTCCATATCAAACTTTTTGACTAGATTCTTAGCATACTTTTCTTGTGAAATAAAGTATCCTTCAGGGCTTTGCTTGACCTGTAGTCCTAGGAAGTATGTCAGTTGACCAACCATGGACATTTCAAATTCTTCCTTCATCACTTTTACTAACTCGTCAGTGTATTTCTGTAAGGTTGATCCAAACACAATGTCATCAACATAGATTTGGGCTGTGGTTACATAACTTCCAGTAGTTTTTACAAACAAGGTTTTGTCAACACTTCCCCGTTTATACCCATGCTGGAGCAGATACTGTGTCAGTCGTTCATACCATGCCCGTGGGGCTTGTTTGAGACCCTAGAGAGCTTTTCGAAGCTTATAGACATATGATGGATGATCTGGATCTTCGAAACCTTTAGGTTGAGCCACATAGATATCTTTGTGGAGATAGCCATTCAGGAATGCTGTCTTGACATCCATCTGAAACAGTGTGAATCCCAAAATACATGCGACAGCCAACAAAATCCTGATTGACTCGAGTCTAGCTACAGGAGCAAAAGTCTCATCATAGTCAATCCCTTCAATCTGAGTATACCCTTGAGCCACTAACCGAGCTTTGTTCCTTGCTATATTCCCAGCTTCATCAGTTTTATTTTTAAAGATCCACTTTGTTCCAATTACGTTGACATCATCAGGTCTTGAAACTAGATCCCAGACATGATTTCGCTCAAATTGATGTAGCTCCTCCTGCATTGCCTTGGATCCACAGATCATCATGTAAAGCTTCTTTAACATTCCTGGGTTCTATCTTTGAGGTATAGCAAGCAGACCCAGATATTTTTGTCAGATTATTTCTTATTCTGCTCCTGGTCTTCATCCCATCTGATGGATCTCCAATGATATTATCTGATGGATGGTTTTTCTGAGTTCTGGTGGGTTTGTCTTTACCTGTATCATTTATGAGGTTTGTCTCCTGAGCCGAACTTTCTTGATCTTCATCTGACGATTCTTGTGGTTTGGACTGACTGTTGCTATTGGTGGCAGTTGGGTCACTGAGAGGAAGCTCTGTCACTGAATCTGTCACTGTTGTCTCTACTGATTCTTCTTGACTGTCATCTATAACCACATTTACTGACTCCATCACAGATTGAGTCCTCTTGTTGTAGACTCTGTAGGCACGACTGTTTGGAGAGTATCCAAGGAAGATGCTCTCATCACTCTTTGGTTCGAACTTCCCTCTTTGTTCTCTGTCAGCCAGCACATAACATTTTGTCCCAAACACATGAAAATACTTTAGATTTGGCTTCTTTCCCTTCCATATCTCATATGGTGTTTTGGTTGTTCTTGGTCTAAGATATACCCTATTTATAGTATGACAGGCTGTGTGTACTGCTTCAGCCCATAAGCGCTACGGCAGATGCGAGGCATGTAGCATAACTCTAGCCATTTCTTGTAAAGTTCGATTCTTTCTTTCCACTACTCCATTCTGTTGAGCAGTTCTAGGGGCTGAGAACTCGTGTGATATACCGTGCTCGGAGCAGAAATCTGAATATAGTGAGTTCTCAAATTCTTTTCCATGATCACTCCTCAATCTCTGAACTTTTATTATAGACTCACTCTTTTCCTTCTGAACCCTTATACACAGAGTTTTAAAGGCCTTGAAAGCTTCTGTTTTTTCTCTTAGAAAGTATACCCAGCTGTATCGAGAGAAATCATCTACACACACAAATATGTATTTCTTTCCCCCAATGCTTTCAGTCTGTGTTGGCCCCATGAGGTCTATGTGGACAAGATCTAGACACTTCTCAGTGGTGATGCCTCTTACTGCTTTGTGTGGAGTTCTGATGTGTTTCCCAATAGCACATGCGCCACAGATTTTTTCTGGATCTATTCTGATCTTAGGTACACCTTTCACAGCTTCCAGTTTTATCAGCTTTTCCATATCTCTGAAGTTTACGTGACCTAGTCGTCTATGCCAGAGTTTTGATTCATCAGATTTGGATAGGTGACAAGCAGTTTCATTTGTCAAAACATAACAATTGTCTGAGGACCGGGTTCCTTCCATGACTAGTTGATTTGCTTTGTCACTAACTCTGCAACAGTTACGATCGAAGCACACATTCCAATTTTGATCACACAACTGACTGATGCTAATTAGATTCGCTTTCAACCCACTGACTAGCAGGACTTCTTCTAATTGAGGTAAACCTGGTACATTCATGATACCTTTCCCAACTATTTTCCCTTTTTGTCCATCTCCATATGTTACAGCTCCACTGCTAGGTTGAACAGCCATCAGACACTTAACATTTCCTGTCATATGTCTTGAACACCCACTGTAGAAATACCATCTAGCGTCAGTTGTAGATGCAGTCAGAACAATGGTGGGGTAGCAGATAACTTCTGACTTCCTGACCCAAACCTGTCTAGTGAATGGTGTAATAGTCTTATTCTGATATTTTTCCTTCCTTTGATCTTTGTAGAAAAAATAACACTCAGGCCGAGTATGACCTTTTGTTTGACAGTAGTGACAAATAGGGGTGTAATATTTAACTTTGACAATCTTATTTTTGAACCTTGAATAATGAGATTGATGAGTTACTTTGGCCAGGCCAGTATCATCAGTCTGGTTGTTCCTCCTTCCCTTGTTCTGCACTGACTGAGATGATTGTCCTTGTTCATAGCTGTGAACAGTTGTGGTCTTAGACATACCCTCTTTGATGAGCATAGGTGCGTTATTCGAAGATTCACCTCGTTCAATTCCCAGACCTTTTTTATCATTAGGATTTCTGCCAGAGTCTAGAATCTTATCTAAGGTTGATGTGGTGTCCATTATCTGGATATTTTTCTTCAGACTCTCCAATTCCTTGATCAGTTTTCCTTCTCTAGATCTTATCTGAGTGATGAGATCTTTTTCTATGACAATGTCTGTATTCAGTTTCTTTAGAAGATCATCTCTTTGCTTCAGCTCGTCATTCAGATTTTTATTTACTTTCACAAGTTGTTCCCAGCTAGCAACAAGTTTTGCAAATTATGTTTCAAGTTGAGTATGTCTCTCTTCAAAATCATCAGTTGATATGTAAGATTCTTCATCTGATTGGTCTCCGTCTGACTAAAGGTCTGTAGCAGTAAAGAAAGCTACAAAGTTTCCCACATTATCATCTGACTGATCATTTGAAGTTTTCTCCTCATCATCGCTTAAAGTAGCTACAGACATAACCTTTTTCCTCTTGAGATACGTTGCACATTCAGCCTGTATGTGTCCATATCCTTCACATTCCCTACACTGCACTGACCGGTTGAGGGATTTACCTGTGTCTGTGGAATTGTTTCTGTTTTGTCTTGATCGACCAGTCTGAGATTGATTGTTCTGTGAGAAAGGTGTTGTTTCAACCTTTTGATATGAGGAGTTGTTGCCTTTGTATTGTGTCTTGGTAGGCTGACCTTGACCCTTTCTGTTGAAACCTTTTAAGATTTTCTTGAAATTCTTGGTTAGAAGTGCCAAGGTTTCATCATCTATGTCGTTTGTGTCAGATTCTCGATCAGCCTCAGCCACAAAGGCCACTGACTTTCCTTTCTATTGCTTCCAAGATCATCATCAGCAAGAACTTCTAGTTCATATGTGTGTAAGCTTCCCATAAGTTATCCGATAGTCTTCTTTTCCCAACCTGTGTGTTCCTGAATAGCAGTTACTTTCATTCGAAAGCGTTTAGGTAAAGATCGAAGGATCTTTTTGACCATTCTCTCATCAGTGAATGGTTCACCAAGAATTGAGGCTCGATTCATAAGATTCTGAACCCTACTGTGGAAGGTAGAAATGGTTTCTTCTTCATTCATTCTGAGTGCTTCGAATTCTGACAGAACCATTTGT